CAGGACACCGGGCGAGCGTCCTCCTCACAAACAGCAAGACGACGTACTTGGAGTCCGGCTGAGGAGGCAGCCCTATTAGACATTATGAAAGACATGGTTTTGGAAGGGTGGAGAGCTGATAATGGTTTCAGGTAGGGGTAGAATTTTGAAATTGAAAGAAGATTGAAGTTGAAGTTTCCAAACTGTACCCTTCGCGCAGACCCACACATCAGCTTAAAGATACATGTCTGGAGAAAAAACTATGTGAGTGTGGCACTCAAAAAGTCCAATTCAGGATTCGACTAGAGCAAGATCACTAAAAATTTTTCATGCGATGATAAAGTTTGGACCAGATGGATGAAGGTTAGATAATACTCAAAAATCAAGTCCATTAATGTAGATTAATGTTATTCAGAGAGAAAAAAAAAACTAAAATCAGGAAAACAAACCATGGTGGTAATCATTTCTGCACATTCGTCGTGTTTAACTAATGTAGGTAGATCCAAATGCAAAATCATTGAGGAACAAGTCTTTCCCGTACATCAACGACTAGACAGAAATTTTTGGAAAAGATAGAGCAACAAGTGAAAATGCACAGTCCTTCGAGGACGCAGCAAATGATGTCCCAGCCCAGGACAACCCGATGTCGGATAATGATGAAGTCTCATCAGATAAAAACATCGAAAATGGATCCCCAGGTCTTGGCATGGTAACCCAGTCATGGGTAGCACATCTGGAACGACATTTGAGTCTGGTACAAGGGTTGAAAAAGGAAAAAAAATATGAAAAGGGTTGCAGAGAGCCAGTGGGAAGGACGAATTTTGGATATCATGGAATCATTCTCTCAAAAGACAACATAAAGCTTGAATGGCATTGCAAGTAGGCTTGGGTTTGAGCAAGACGAGGAGAAAAAAAGAAGTGCAGTGTTTGACTCATTGTCTAACATGCATTTCTTGTCAAATGAAGATAAAATGGTTATCACCATGCGTCTGTGTAAAAACCCACAAGAACTCTCCATGTTCTTCAGCCTGTCCCAGGACAACAAATGTCTCATGGTTAAGATGATGCACGAAGGACGACTGTAGGTTGCTTGTAATGGCTTTGATTGGTCTTGATAGGAGTTACTAGTTCATGTGGGGTTTGTGATATGGCTTTTGAAGAAATTTGTATCTGTCTGATTTGTTTGTTTTGATGTGGGTTTTGAAGACTTAATAGTAGTATTTGTGGTTGTT